ATTTATACTTCTGAAATAAGTATCCCAAAGTGCTTTGTATGTATATGTCTTAAGGTAGACAAAATAAAATCTTACTTTAAAATACACAGGAGTGGGCAAAAGTAGGTTTACAGATGCTCATATAGAAAATGATACAATGGCCATGGAGGAGGCCTGGAGCTCGGGGCTGCAGGCGCCCCAGGGCCATCGGCCGCCCGCCGTCCCCCACCCGCATCGGGGCTCCCCGCTGGCCGGGAGCTGCCAGCATAGGAAAAGCCTGGGGCTGCTCACCGCCAAGTTCGTGTTGTGTCGCTGCTGCTGGAGGCGCAGGACGGAGTGCTGGACCTCAAGGCGGCTGCAGACACTTTGGTCGTGCGGTAGAAAAGAAGGATTTATGACATCACCAACGTCTCGGAGAGGATCGACCTGATGGAGAAGGAGTAGAAAAACAGCATCCAGCGGAAAGGTGTGGGCGCTGGCCGCACACGAAAGAAGTCCTGAGAGACTGAGCGCCCTGAAGGCTGAGCTCGACCACCTGGACCTGAAGGAAAGGGGGCTCGATCAGCAGATGGACGACCCCGTCAGCAGCAGGTTTTCCTATGTGACTCACGAGGACATCTTCAGGCGCCTTCTGGTACGCAGCTGGAGGTCCCGATTCCAGAGATGGGTCAGAACAGAGAAGAAATACCAGATCAACCTGAAGAGCCATTCGGGCCCCATTCACATGCTGCTTATCAACAGAGTCCAGTTCGTCCCAGCCCGTGGTTTGTCCTGTCCCCCCACCAGACGACCTCACGCAGCCCTCCTCTCAGCCCTCAGCGCCCCTGACTCCGCATAAGCCCAGCCCAGCCCCTCGGAGCCCCTCGGAGCCCCCCCGGAGGAGCCTGGGCCCCCGGCACGCACCGGCCACAGCTCGGGCTTCAGGGTCTCCTACTGGAGATACCTTGATGCCTTGATGCCTCCTCTCTCCTGCGCTCTCACCCACCCCGCGGACGACTGCAGCTTTAACCTAGATGACAGCGAAGGCATGTGTGACCTGTTCGATGTCCAGATACTCAATTACTAGATGCCATGGGAACGTGGACTGTTATCTACCTCTAACTGTAATGCTGTAGACTTGCTAATCACTGAGCATTTATAACGAACACAACACCTGCTTAGTCTGAAGTCTTCTCCCTGATGCTTTTTCTCTGATGTCACAGAACTTCAACGTGAGAACCAAGGGCTCCGCTTGCCGCGGGGAAAAGTGATTTCACAGCCACCACACCCCCTCCAGTAACTGCATTCTGAGATTTCATCTTTTCTTCCGATTCCGACTCCTTCTGTTTTTCACTCTCAGGAGAGTTAAAAGTAGGTTTAAGGTCATCAAAACCAGAAACAGCCAAGGGCTCCTCTCTCATCTTTGCCCCACCTCGACTGCCCGCTGGGCTTCTGCTTCGAGAAGCTGTCCCTATGCGCGTGTGTCCACCCAGACTGCCCGTCACTGCCCCGGGACAGCTGAGGAAGTGCCTTCTGCCAGCACTTTAGGTTCCTCAGTGTGGTCGGTCCTGACTACTTCCCTAGGTCACAGGGAGGGCTGTGCGTGTAGTTTGTGTTTAAATGTGCCAGTGCCTGTATGAACAAGATTTTAAAAAATAAAATTGTATAAAACAAAACACAGAAAATAATACAAAAATTAATAATGATAATACAAGAACAAATTCTGTTTCCCATACTCCCAACTGTATATTTACTTTTGCCTACCCTGGTATAACCACATATGATACACAAAAACAAAAACAAAAAAACATTATTCTGAGATATCAAGATACTTAGGGGAAAAACATAAATTCCTTTCATCTGCTCCTTCCAGCTAAGTGGAAGGTCAACCAACCGGTTCCACTCCTATACAGAGAGCGTTTTCAGGACTCAAGCAGAGGAGATGCTGAAGATTAGGCAAGAGGACAGGAAGCTCTGGTGGTCAGATAACTCATTCAAACTGGTTAAAGTCCTGAGTGTGAATGCTGAAAGCCTGAACCTCATGCAATGGATAAATATTTATTAAGAGCCTCCTATATGCTAGCTAGGCAACTGGGCTCCGTAATACGGGAACCAAAAGAAAGCCAGTCCTGCTTTCAATGAGAGTAAGATGATAAAAATAATTCATTGAGCGCTCCACAAGCCAGGCACTCTTCTGAGTATAGTCATTTAACTCAATCGTCACAACAACTATATGAGGGAGATGATGATATTCCATATCTTAACTGTAGAATTAGTAACTAAAATAGTGATTTCTGGAAACATTTTATGCATGCCATGAAATGAACTGTAAATGGCATGGGGTGAGTAAAATCCTTGTCCTTTGATTTCATATTCTATTTAATGACCAAGCATGATTTTTGAACCACAAGCACATGTAGGAAAAGTTATCAAATTAGATTTTATTTTTCCCAAATAATTGGGTAACATATGTAGAAGACAGACCCTTTACTTATTTCTTAAGTATCCCTTATGCATGTTTTTATGTATTAAAAATGGTACCCTAATGCATTTTTTCCCCCGATCTGAAGTTGGTTACTTTTAAAAAAATCCTTACCAGAGGATATTTTTACATTTCTCTTCAGACAGAGTGGGAGGGAGAGAGAGAAACATCGATGTGAGAGAAACACATCAATTGGTTGCCACCTGCCACCGCAGACCCCTACTGGGGCTGGGGATGAACTGCAACTGAAGTACATGCCCTTCGCCAGAATCAAACCCTGGACTTTATGGTCCGCAGGTCGACGCTCTAACTGCTGAGCCAAACCAGCCAGGGCTGAAGTTGGTTACTTTTTAAATGACAAGGCCCAGAGGAGTTACAAAAGATAAAGCCACCTTTTCATCCAGTTTTAAAGAGTTGTTCATTGAAACAAATTTACCCAATAGGCAACCACCCAAGGAGGATCTCATTTAAATAAACTCTGAGTGCCCCATCACACGAATTTGCACACCGGGCAACATTTTATGAGTGAGGACAGCATGCTTTGACTCAAGAGAAACCATAATCTGTAGACCCTCAAAGTCCTGGCTCCCAATTTCTGCACAATTCCTTTCCCAAATTAGCTTTGATAAAAATTATGTCAGAGACTTAACCTGGACACAATCAATCAGAAGGGTCTGTGGGAGGAGCTAGGGCTTTATAGGAGGAGTTGAGGACTCTGTGTCATCTTCACAACCCTATAGGAAGAATAGTTTATACAGAATTCTATGGATGTAACAGACCCTCCCTTAACTTTCTCTTCCCTTCCTAAGTTTTTTCTCCATCTTGGTCCAGTCTGGTGTACGCATGGGGCTCACCATGTCTGCATGCATCAGATTGCAATTTTTTATTTTTCTCATATAAATTATTTTGATGTCAGAATAACTAGTTGATTCTGATTTCCAGTCAACAGCTTGTTCACTTAAAAATAATAAGTCAAAGTGAGAGGCAACAAGCATTTATTTGAGATCACAGAATTGCAATCAAGAACATAGAATTCAGGCAAAAACCCAAATTGTGTTCCAAATTCAGGGTGAAGGCAACAGTTTTTTATGAGAAAAGGAAAAGAAATAATTATATAAATGGAAGGAAGAACTTTCTATTGGTATTAACAGGCTGTTACTCTTTCGTTATACAGGCACACTTCATTTTATTGCACTTCAGTTTATTGTGCTTCACTGTTTTCATCAACATCAAAGCAAGACGCTACACCAGCAAAAAGATTATGGCTCGCTATATCTGTAATTACGGATGTTAAAGAATGTCCATAATCATCAGTCCTCTTGGGCAGGGTATTTGTTTTCCTGTTAGCTTTATGTACAGTTGTAAGACAGTGTTGCTTCACCCACTCCAAAGGTTATTTTGCCCAGTTAAAACATTGCAAGGGTTCTGGGAGCAAGACGTGCAAGCAGCTTATCTAGAATGGTTGCTCTGGCTCTACTTTAAAATGACTCCACTTATGTCAACTGTTCACAAGCTCTACCTATGAAAGCCAGGCTTGAAAATCCTGCAGTTGCCTCTAGTTTACTTCAGCCCAAATCTCCTATACAAAGAGCGTTAAATTATTACAAAGCCTATAAAGTAACTTGCACTGGGGAAAGAACTACATGTTGTCAACCCATGGCCAGTGCCAATTCAAATGCCAACAGGAATCCCCAATTTGCGGTGCGTTGAAGAAGGAAACTATTTTGTGCAAGCAGTTCAGCAGTTATACAGCGTGCCTGTGAAGACAGCACTGGGCAGTGGCAACATCACCTGAAAAATAACAGGGTGGGCAAGCTGCCTGGGGCCAGGTGCCCCCATGCCACACCAAGAAGCGGGGGTTGAAAAGTGCACCCCCTAGCAAGCCTGAGAGCTGGTTTATAGACCGAAGTACCCACCCCTGGTCCCTAACTGGTCAGAACTGAGCCAGCTCTTACTGGATGGGGAAAGCCTCATTCCTACTGGTTTCAATAGGATTCCAGAAACTGCTTTATAAGGGCTGGCTCAGCGAGCGGAAACAGTGCAGCCAGGCAGGGAGGCAGTTCAGTGCCCGGGCAGGCAGTTCAGCCCAGAGGCTTCTCTGCGAGTGCAGGTTGCATGAGAGGCCCCTGTGCAGAAACGGCTGCTAGGCTCTGCTTCTCCCTCGCACCCCTCACCCCTCACCCCTCACCCCCAGCCAGTTAGCCACCAGGAGCCCTTCTTAGTCCTCAGGCTTCACAACCTGAAACACAAAGGCACACAACATCCTTAACTTTTAGGCGAGTCGGGAAGAGCAAACGTTTGGGGCAGGATTGCCTGCAGGTGATCTAATGTCGCCCGGGTCTCCAACCCCGGCCACTCTCAGGCCTCGCGGTGGCCGCTGGCACTTCCCTGTGGCCGGGTAGTCTCTCCAGGCTCCGGGCGGCGGAGCTGCGGCCCCCGCCCCGCCCGAGGCGCTGCGGCCGGGGAGCTGCGGAGGGAGGGAAGGAGCCTAAACCCGCAGAGACTCGGCCGGGGCGCGACGCGGAGGAAGGGGCGGTGCTGCGACCCGGCTCCAGGAAGCGGCCCCCGTGCTCGGCCGCGATGAGCTCGGTGCCGAGCTCCCGGGACGCTGGCCCTGCAGGTAGGGGGTGCCTAGGGCGCGGGCTCCCCTGGCTTTGCTGCGCGGCCGGAGGCAGTTGGGGGTCCTGGAGGGGAGCGCTCGGGCCCGGTGGGGGCAGTGTAGCCCTTGGCCCCGCAAACAGCGCGGGGAGCTCGCCGCCCTCCTGGCGCTCGGGGCGGGCGGGCTCCTTTGTCCTCCCGGCGAGCTCCCGGGCGCCGGCCGCTCCCTCGTTCCAGGCCCCCCGCGCCTGGGCACGGACCGTTGGCTTTGGAGTGGAAGTTGGGTCTGGTTCTGTTTTCTCACTTCTAAGGAAAAGTTAAGGAAGTGGTTGCATGCAGTAATGGTGCGAGCCTGGCCGGCACCCCTGGCGTGCCCGGAAAGCTGGAGACAGCCAGGCTTGCGGGGGTGCAGCCCAGGACCGCGCTCCGGCACCGGAACCTGCCGCCGTGGGTGTGGGTTCAAACCACAGCCCTCTTCTCTGCAGAATAATCAACTGCTAACCGTGTGCTGTAGAACTTACTGATCAACTTACTGCTAAAGCTGAGGAATTCCGAGCCTGGCCAGTATATATATTATTTTTTTCTTTCTCTCTCTCTCTTTTTTTTTTTTTTTTTTTTTTTTGAGAGAGAGAGAAAAAAAAACAAACCCGGTTGTGAGAGGCTGCCTCCTGCACGCCCTTACCGGGGGTGAGCTCGAAACCCAGGCACGTGCCCTGACTGGGAATTGAACCGGATCTCAGTCCATGGGACCAAGCTCAATCCACTGAGCCACAGAGTCCAGGCCAGTTGTTTTGTGTGTGTGTGTGTGTGTGTGTTTTGTTTGTTTACGTTTGACGTGGTAGCAGGCCACTCAGAGACAGAGCGCCCTTCGGGCTTTTTATTCTCTGCTGCACCGAACAAACTTTGCCCCAGAGGCAAGTTTTAGGGAGTGGCCTTGCCCGGGGCGGCGCTAGGTCCTGCGGCCGTTTCCATTTTGGAACCAGTGGCGGGGGGTAGAAACCAGGGCAGGGGTCCAAGAGGCAGGATCCCTAGGCGGCGCACCTCCTCCATTCTTTGTATCACATTCCTCTTTCTAACTGCTCCCCCCGCACCCCTCTTCTCCAGTGTGGTTTAGGCTTACAGGGATTACTCACTATAGGATTACTTGTTAATAGGATGTATAAGAACATTTTCTTAGATACTGTAGTGTGACTAAAGGCTATGACAATAGATGAGGTCTGGAGAAATGAGCACTTTGTTTACAAAGGTAGAGCTGGTCTCTCTGGTGGCAGCGAGTTTAGCATGGTGACAGTGCAGACTGGAATTCCCAGGCCGACCTAACTTTCAGCTCCAACTCCACTGCACTTTCTCAGGCTTCAGGGGGCGTGGAGCCCAGTGAGAAAGCATCCAAAGTGCAAGGCCATCAGCAAGCAGAAACTAGCAGGATTATCTGGAGATCAAATTAAGGTGAGGAGAACAGAGGAGTGATTAGTTTTGTAAAAAGTACGCTAGTTTAAGGAAAGTTTTTAGAGCCCATTGTACTAACAATAACAGCAAAAATCCCACTTTTCAAAAATCCCACACTGAGAAGGCTTTATCTGTTAACTTTGAAAATGAATGTCATTTTAAACAGATTATCTTGAGCTACTTAAAACTAGCTGTCATTCCTAAAGCTATAGATCTTGACTAGCAGAGTGATGTTTGGAGACAACCCATAAGCACCTCTCAAATTACGCCTGCCTAGGAGGAACTGTAAAGCTCCTTCCTTAGCCCATGAAAAACAAACTTTAAAAACCCAATTGAATGCACATCTCCAGGGCTTTCACCTTCAAGAACTTGGTGACCTGCTGTTTGTCATAGCTTCTGCCAGGCGCACTTCAAGCTGCCTTTAGGTAGAGCGCTGGCGTCGTAGGAAGGATCCCAGTAGAGTAGTGTATGGAGTAGAAAATACAGACTAGGAAATATCTCCCACAGAAGGGTGTGTATGGAATAGGAACTATCCAGGTAGACTGGGTGTGGAGTAGGACGTGTTTCAGGAGAACAGTGTGTGGAGGAGGAAGGAAACCTTGGGAGATGGGGAGAATACCTTAGTCTGCGTTGACTCCCAGGCTTTGGTGTGAATAAAAATTACCTTGTTAAAAATGAAGATTGTCACCTCTCCCAGGATTCTCATTTTGTACATCTGGGTTAGGATCCAGGAATCTGCACTTTATCACCCAGGCCAGGGATTGAGGCAAAAGGCAGAGAAACGCTGATTTAGGGGCTGTGGGGTAGGAGGACTCCTTAGTGGGGTCTTGGCTGGCTCCGAATGCTGGGAATTCCAGGAGGAATGGACTGAGTGTGACTGGCGAAGGACACGAGTTGGATTCTCCATCTCACCTTCAACCCTAGGGTGGATTTTATCAGTGAGGAGACCAGAGAGAACAAGCAGGTGTCAGGGAGAGTCTCTAAGGAGAGGGAGGAACACGACCCTCTTGGCTAGGGGCTAGGAGGTGATGGGTAGGAGCCCATACTTTAGGGTCTGTCCTTCTTCCTCAGAGACCACATCTGAGAGTGCATCCTGCTGTGCTCTTGGTCTTTTTGTTTATTCATTACTTTCTCTTTCCCCTCTAAGCTGTTAAGTTTATCAGATAAAAACAAACTCATGGATATATGGGGCCTTATTGTAGAAGATGCTAGACTCACTGTGCTGCCCAATACAGAAACCACCGCTATATGTGGTTATTTCAATCGAAATTAGTTGACAGTAAATAAAATAAAAAATTGAGTTTCTCAGTTGCAATAGCTCCATTTCAGGTGCTCAAGAGCCGCATGTGGCCCGTGGCTACTACATGGGACAGCACAGGAATACACCTTCCTGATGGCAGATAGGCCTGGGTTGCACAGCACTGTTCTAGGAAATGGGACAGATTCACTCTGATTGCAGGTTGGGAGCAGAGGGTCCCCATACAGGTGCGGATATACCATTCAGGAGATCCAGAATCTGAGCCTTTGCTCTGCCCCTGCCCTTCCTCCACCCGAACTCCCATTTCTTCCCGTATTAACCACACAGTGTGTTTCAGTTCTCCTTAATGACTTCATTTCTTCTCTGTTTTAAATAACATTTACAGAAACGTTTTCTGTAAAACAAAGCAATTTCAGGCCCTGGCCAGGTACTCAGTTGGTGGGAGAGTCCTCCCAATATGCCAAGGTTGTGAGTTAGATCCCCAGTTAGGGCACCTACAAGAATCAACCAATGAATGCATATGCATTATATTTTCTCCATTTCTCTGAATGATATTCTTTGCTATTTTGCTGGTAAGAGTTGGGGGTGAAAAAAATTAAGGTATTCATTTATAGTTTGTTTGTTGTTATTAAGCAGTTTCTCTTCCTTTTTTCCTTACTTTTCATATGCCAGAACAGAAGTCTTAGTGCGTGGGAGTCAAGGGCATCCAGATGGGAGGTCCTGCTGTTTCATTACCATAAGTCAGAAAGTAAATTAACACAAATCAACTTTTTTTTTTAATAGGTGAGGAACAAAACATGACAGAAACAGATGCCTTCTATCGTAGGTAAAAATATGCTCTTCCAATAAAGGTATTTTCCTTTGGTGGTGGTCGTCAACAGACTAAAAATCAAAGCAAGAAAGTAAAAAGCTGGTCTCTGGTCTCCTGGGACCTGACACGGGAAAGATTTAAGAGACAGGAAAGGAGAGGTAAAGGCATCGATGAGAGAGAGGGCATTAAATGGCCGCCTCGTGCGTGCCCCGCACTGGGGATCGGGCCCATGACCTGAGCATGTGCCCTGACCGGGAATCGAACCAGCAACCTCTTGATGCCTGGGTCGATTCTCGACCACTGAGCCACACTGGCCAGACCTGGTGTCAAAGCACAGAGAGTATGGGGGTAATTAAACCACAACCACTGCTGTCGGTTTAGGAAACACCTTCTTTTGGGAATCATACGAGATATTTATTAAAGATTTATCCACAATCACCGTGCTTTTCCTGGGAAGCTCCCAGCCAACAATTGAACATAATGGAAGTAGTAAGGTCTGGCCATTTCTGCCCACTGTGGGGTTCCTTGAATGGGTGGGAATCTTTGCTCCAGAGCTCTGTGTTGGGTTGGTTGAAGCTTTGTCAGATCTGCATCATAATTTGAAGCTCTCTCTGCCCCAAACTGCTTTCTTCCCAAGCATCACCCACCAATAAACCTCTTGCATTCCTCAAAAAAATAAAATAAAAAGCAAGACAGTGATCTGTGAGCTGGAAGGCAGAACTGAGTGTGTCAGGTTTTCACATTTGGAGAGTTAATTTGTAGATATACAGGTTAGTTCCTGTCTCTAGTTGTGAAAGGACTTAGAGTGATGTTCAGAATATTTAAGAGTTGTTATGGGCCCTGGCCGGTTTGGCTCAGCGGTTTGAGCGATGGCCTGCGGTCCGGAGAGACCCGGGTTCGGTTTCCGCTAAGGGCGCGTACCTCGGTTGCAGTTTGTCCCCGGCCCTGGTCGGTCGTGCGGGTGGCAGCCACTCGATGTGTCCCTTTCACGTCGATGTTTCTCTCTCTCTCTCTGTTCCTCTCTCTTCCCCCCACTCTACCTGAACAAAAAAAAAAAGAGTTGTTATGGGATGGGCCCTGGGCACGGGCCTCGGTTGATGGATCCTGGAGACCTGGGGGAGAGAGACCCGTGTAGAGGGATTGCGGGTGGGCACTCAGGATGGCCGCTCTTACCAGCTGGTACAGAATCATTGCAGGCCTGCCCTTACTAGCGTGGCGGAGGCTTTCCCGGTACAAGCCAGGGGCATGCTGGCCCGGCAGGGGAGGAGGAAGGAGGAAGCAGCAGACCTCTGTCTACCCTACACACGGACCTTAGGCTTAGAGGAGCTCATTATTTAATATGACTTAAAATGATTTTTTAATTTTCTTTAACAGCGAAATGTTTGATCCAGGAGAAAAGTACAAAATGGACCACAAGAAGAGAGGACTTGCTTTAATCTTCAATCATGAGAGGTTCTTCTGGCACTTAACCCTGCCAGAAAGGCGAGGCACCAACGCAGACAGAGACAACCTCACGCGCAGGTAGTAGTTTTATCTGCATGTCAAAGTGATAAGATATTTAAGTGATAACTACTTATGGAAACTTGTCGGCACTGAAGAAATAACAGAGTAAGAGTATTGGAGGATGAGGCTCAGTTGGGCACAGCTTCCCCTTAGGAACCTGCCTGAGTTTTCTTACCCTGTTCTATTACATGTTAACAGGCAATGCAAATATACAGTTGACTCTTGAAAACTCAGATGGTTAGGAGTGCTGATCTCCTGCACAGTCAGAAATCCACGAACTTTTGAAACTCCTCTAAAACTAAGTTTTCTCTCAGTATCCACAGGGGACTGGTTGTATGACCCCTGTGGATACCAAAATTTATGGATGCTCAAGTCCCTTGCATAAAATGGCATAGATTAGTGTATATAGTCTGCCCTCAGTATCCATGGACTCCCAGCTGTGGATTGAAAACAGTACAGGTATTTACTGAAAAAAATCTGTGTACAAGTGGACACTTGCAGTTCAAACCCTATTGTTCACGGGTCACCTGTATTTGTACAGTAGACATGATGTTCTAACTTGAATGAGTCATCATTACTAGTAAATCCTTTCCTGTTGTGGGTGATCCGGGAAAATCTTCATTGTCATATTTGATTTTTCTCTCCCTCTAAAGAAAGGACAACTTATGTGTCATAAAAGGTATATAAATTCCTCAAATAAGTAGGGTATGTGACAACTTTGAATTGCTCATAAGCTAATACCCAGTTTAATCTGTCACCAGGTTTTCAGAGCTAGGATTTGAAGTGAAATGCTTTAATGATCTTAAAGCAGAAGAACTTCTGCTCAAAATTCACGAGGGTACGTAGTTTCCCTATTCACCTTCCTCTGACGGGATTGAGTACCTGAAATACCCTATCTGTAAGGACAGGTCCAAATGACTGTGTTGTAAAAAGTCTTACCAATTAATTTGACATGGATTATAGGTTTTTGGTTGTGCCTCTCTGGTGATGTTACCCACCAGATTTAGAGACCCCCACAAAGCATTATGCCTCCAAAGTTTATATTCAGCGCACCACTAGTTGCAGTCTGTTATTCTGGAAAGACCTTTTCATTTGGCATTTAAAAGTTGAAAATGCAAGCACTATAGGTGTTAGGCAGTGATATATATATATTTTTTATCTTCACCCAAGGACACTTTTTCAATTTTTGTTAAGTTAGAGTGGGAGAGGGAGAGAGAGGAAGAGAGAAAGAGAAGCATGACATGAAAGGAACACATCGAGTGGCTGCCTCCTGCACGACCCGACCAGGGCCGGGGACCACAAATTGCAACCGAGGTACGTGCCCCTGACCAGCATCAAACGCGACTCATTGGTCTGTGGGCTGACGCTCTAACCACTGAGTCAAACCGGCAGGGGCTGTTTTTTTTGTTGTTTTTTTTTTAAACTCCTTCCATACCCAAAGTTTTGTGTGTTTTTTTTATCCTCACCTGAGGACATTCTTCCATTTTTTGTTCAGATAGAGTGGGAGGAGGAGAGAGAGAGGGAAACATCGACATGAAAGGGACACATCGAGTGGCTGCGACCTGCACAACCCAACCAGGGCCAGGGACAAACTGCAACCAACGTACATGCCCTTAGCAGGAACCGAACCTGGGTCTCTGAACCGCAGGCCGACGCTCTAACCGCTGAGCCAAACTGGCCAGGGCCCCAAAGTTTTAACTAACTTCAAAAGACTGGTGATTTGCATAGTCTCTCTTAATTTCCATATCACTTTGCATTAGTTATTTTAACAATTTATATTTATCATAATAATCACTGCATGTCATGGATTTTCAAGTCATTTGCCAATGGACTATTATAATATTTATATAATTTCAACTTTCTGCAGAACTATTTTTTTTTTTAGGTATAATTGATATATAACATTATATTAGTTTCAGGTGTACAACGTAATGAGTTGATATACGTGTACATTGTGGAATGTTTAGTTACCATCCTTTACTATACATAGTTACCAAAAAATTTTTTTCTTGAGATGAGGACTTTTTTCCTAAAAAACTTTATCTTGAGAGAGGATTTACTCTCTTAGCAACTTTCAAATATGCAATGCAGTATTATTAGCTACAGTTGCCATGCTGTACATATCCCATGATTTATTTAATATCTGGAAGTTTACACCTTTTGAACCTCATCACCCATTTTGCCCACTTCCCATCACTCCTGTCCCCTCTGGCAACCACCAGTCTGTTCATGTCTGTGAGTCTGGTTGTTGGTTTGTTTGATTAGTTTTTTTTTTTTTTTTAGATTTGAAATATAAGTGAGATGGTATGGAATTTGTCTGTCTCTGACTCATTTCACTTAGTGTAGTACCTCTAGGTCCATCCATTTGTCACAATGACAAGAGCTCATTCTTTTTTATGACTGAATAATGGCCCACTGCATATATACCACAATTTCTTTAACCATTCATTCACTGATGGACACAGGATATTTACATGTCTAAGCTGTAAGTTATGCTATATGAACATGGGGATGCGTATATTTTTTCAAGTTTGTGCTCTCATTTTCTTTGGACAAATACGTACCCCAGTGTGGAATGGGCTGGATCACATGGCACTTCTATTTTTAATTTTTTGAGGAACCTCCACACCAGGGCTGTTCTTTAATCTGTATATCATTGTATTATTTTATTTTTTATTTTTAATGTTAACTGGCTGCTTACCAGGTTTCCGCATTACTTGTTTGTACGCTTTGGAGGACATCAGTCTCATGTCTTAATACTCTTTGGGAAGCTTAGTGCTGCAGACATACATTAGCGGTGCAGCAGCACATAGTGAATTAAGTAGTAGTTTCTGGGTCTCTCCAGTTGCTCTAATAAGCATTTTGCTGATTCAAACTTTTATTGCCGTAATTTCTTAGATATTTAAGGGGGTTCCCCATAATACCCCTTTATGTTTTACATGTCATTGTTCTGTTTTAGAAAAATTGATGAAGTCTGTTCACACTCTATTACTTTGAACTTGAATCATTTTGATTTTTCAAAATCAAATACAGTAAGGTAAAAATTATTTGATTAAAATGAAAATAAGTATGTTTCATTACAGACCTTTTACACTTGTTATAAGAATAACAAGTTTTCTCCATCCCTCAACCATATGTATATAACTTTATTCTGTTATAAGTAAATTGAATTTTAATATGTAGATAATAAGCATTTTATGAACTTTTGGGGGCTCTTCTAGCATCAACCTCCAGCCATGTGGATGCCGATTGCTTTTTATGTGTTTTCCTGAGTCATGGTGAAGGCAATCACATTTATGCATATGATGCAAAAATTGAAATTCAGACATTGACTGGCTTGTTCAAAGGAGACAGGTGTCGGAGCCTGGTGGGAAAACCCAAGATATTTATCATTCAGGTAAGACTGATGATGTTACAATCTTAATAATAAAGCCCAGGGTCTATACCTGTGATTATTAAGAACTGAGGCCAATTTTAAAAGTAACTTTCTCCAGTACTGGAAAGACCCTTTTTGAATTCCAGCCAGAGTTGCAGTTTGAATTATTGGTAGTAATTCTTTCTTAACTTAAGGAATAAATAAAGATTCTCAGTGTCTTTATTACTTGGATTGATATTTGAAATGACTCTAAAGAGCCAATGTGCCACTTTATGGCCCAGCCTGGTGTCGAGGTAGAGCCGCCAGAGGAAGTACCTGCTGCCTAGAGGGGGAAGAGCAAGGCGGCCTGCTCAGACTGGTTGGGTTCTCTGGGAGCTGGGGAGCACGGACGCCAGTGGGGAGGTGCAGGCATGAAGACTCGTTTGCTTCATCCTTTCACCCTCTCCCTTACACCAAGATGCTCTTTCTCCCCTGCCAAATATTCGGATAAAAATATTTGTAGGCCTGAAGAACATCATCTGGTATATCAATAAGAATTTTTTTCCTTTATTGATTTTAGAGAGAGAGGCAGGGAGAGGGAGAGATAGAAACATTGATGAGAGAGAACATCAATTGGCTGTCTCCTGCATGCCCCCCACTGGGGATCAGGCCCACAACCTGGGCATGTGCCCTGAGTGGGAATTGAACTGGTGACCTCTTGGTGCATGGGTCAGTGCTCAACCACTGAGCCACACCGGCCTCCAGGCTTATGTTCCTTTTACAGCTTATGATTGTTTAACCATTTCATAATTGATGGATGCGTTTATAATACTGAAACAATCTGTTAGGTCGCTGTATTAAGTTTGCTGGAGCTGCCAGAACAAAGTACACAGACTGGGTAGCTTAAACAACAGAAATGTATCTATTTTCCCACAAGTTCTGGACAAGTCTGAGATCAAGGTGTTAACAAGGTTGATCTCTCCTTAGACCTCTCCTTGGCTTGCAGATGACACTCATCCCTCTACCCTCTCGTGGGCTCTGTGTCTGTCCTAATCTCTTCTTATAAGGACACCTGTCATGGTGGATTAGGGGCCACCCATATGACCTCATTTTACCTTAATTGAAAGACCACGTCTCCAACTACACTCACATTTGAGGTACTGGGGATTAGGACTTAATCATATAAATTTTGGAGGGGGTCAGGGGACAACACTGAACCTATAATAGTTGTCTAAGTGTAGAAATTAATGTTAGCTTTTGTGTGAGTCAGCATCAGTGGTTAAGAATTTGAGATCTCACTTTCAAATAGGAGTAAAAGGAAGAAGGCACATTAATAGCTGTCTTCTGAGGTCAAGTACTGTCATTTTGATCTTTAACAGTTTATAGTAGGTAGTAGGCAAGCAAAACCCAATCTGGGAACATATTCTCTGATTCAATATAAACATTCAGGCAAATACTATAGCTTTTAAAAGAAAGGGTGACTTTGGTGCTATGTATGGAATTGTTTATGAGGAATTTTTTAAACCACAGAAGCTTTCTCCTCCATAGCTTTCAATCAACAGACTATACTGTATGGTCGAGGATGCCAGTATTTTTAAAACATTAAAAGAAAATGTACGTAGGGAAGAAAACTGTCAGCTTAAGCCTGCTGTAAACCTGCATGCTTTGGTTGTGAAGTACCTATAAGGTGGCTTCTGTTAATGTTAACATGAAGGTGCACTGAATTACACATCCGCTGTAAACATAGCATTGGGAAGAAAAGGGTAGGTAAGTAAAGGAGGTGGTTTTCTCCTTCGTGTCTCGTAGGCGTGCCGAGGAAACCAGCATGACGTGCCTGTCATTCCTTTGGATGTAGTGGACCATAAGACAGGCGAGCTGGATGCCAACGTCACCCAGGTGGATGCGGCCTCAGTCTACACGCTGCCTGCTGGAGCCGACTTCCTCATGTGTTACTCTGTTGCAGAAGGTGCGTGGCTGTTTAATACAAACACAGAATTGGCTGTCTTGGCTAAGTTCCTGTAAGTCTCACCTTAGCTTGACTTGGATCGGGTATTTCTTTTGGGACCCAGTGGTTTGGTCCTGAAGCTCACAGGCTCAGAATGGATTTCTTTGATCTTGTAGCACAGTGATACATGAAAATGTAAAAATACCTTATAGAAAAATCATGCCTGAGAACTGCAATCTAAAGCTACTGGTCTAATTGTATTGGATGTTAGCAGCCTACTAGGAATTACTGATGGCGATAGTGTCATTGTGGTCATATTCATGGGAAGCTTTGTTGAAAAATACTTGATGATGATTGTTCTTTTCAGTAAATAATTTTATGATTTTCTTCTTCCATATCTCGTCTCATCGCCTAGCTACTACTATTTTGGAAACTTTTAGGTAATTAGATAGAATTAAACCCATTTTTGTAGAACTGTGTAGAATTAATCCCTTTCCCACATGAGAATAGTCAACAGAGAAGAATGTAAAAAACTGTATCACGGACACATCTTAGTCTTCTCCAAGGCTTTTTGAGAATTAATGCTTCTGTAATTATACAGATGTTTTTAGTCACAGTAACTGAAAGCCAGAAAACTCCAGGGTCCTTTTTCTCCTCTCTTTTAGGTTATTATTCTCATCGGGAAACACTGAATGGCTCGTGGTACATTCAAGATTTGTGTGAGATGCTGAGAAAATTTGGCTCCTCCTTAGAGTTCACAGAACTGCTCACCCTGGTGAACAGGAAAGTTTCTCAGCGCCGAGTGGACGTCTGCAAAGACCTAAGTGCGATTGGAAAGAAGCAGGTCCCCTGCTTTGCCTCCATGCTAACTAAAAAGCTGCATTTCCTTCCAAAATCTAAGTAACACTATTTTGTTTTATGTATTTGTATTCAACATTGATTTCCCTTTTTATATAAATAAGTATCGCTAGATTGAAGATTATGGTACAGCAATTTAAAATGTTTTATGGTTTAATGAGAGAACTTAAAAAAAATTAGTTTGCCTGGCCTGGCCGGTGTGGCTCAGTGGCTGAGTGTCAACCCATGCACAGAGGTCGCCGGTTCATTCCTGGTCAGGGTACATGTCCAGGTTGTGGGCCTAATCAGTAGTGGGGGGCATGCAGGAGGTGGCCAATCGATGTTCTCTCTCATTGATATTTCTATCTCTCTCCCCTTCTCCCTTAAAAAAAAAAAAAAAATCAATAAAGAAAAAAAAAATTTCATATTGGACATGGTGAAAGGGTTTAATAGATGTAGAAACTTAATCCTCAGGGAATTACTATAAATAAAAATCCACAAATATTTGTAATACTTGACTTTTGTAAGTTGCAAGGTTAATATCTGGCTGATTTAACTTGTATTTTGTGAAATTTTAATAAAAGTTTATAATATTTTTAAAGGTTTCTGAAACCCAAGAATTAGTTTTCCCTAAATACACATTTATCAAACTTTTCTAATTCACATTTTTTATTCATTTATGTAACCTATAGGCTTGTTTAGTTGGTCATCTAAATTCATCTACACATGAATTATTACTTTTTGCATGACTTTAACTCTCACTCAAAATAATCAGCCTTTAAGAACTATTACATGGCATTCTGAGGAGGAAATATGAACAGTTAATTCATTCTTAGTCAGTATAGGCTAAACACTTGCAAAATTTGATTGTCAGTACATTCCATGTTAAGTTACTATTCATCCAGCAGTCAGTCATTCCATGTTCCTTTTAAGGTTCAAGTCTTCCTCATATGATGTATAAAACTTGAGTTATATTGTTTCGTTAATAACCTGCCAGAAGCTGAGATGGTTAAATGTTTGGGCTTTTGGGAACTGAAGCTTACGAGTTGCAGTTCAAAGAGGGCCAAGTGTGCTGTGGTTAGTGGGTTAGCGAGACATTCGTGCCTTTTTTGTGGTCGCGATGGGGGCTTTGTTGCCAGCTGAACATTTTACTTTCCTTTAACTTCTGACCACAGGTTAGTCGTTGCCATGTCTCTACTTTCAAGAGCCACAAAAACGCTCCCATGTTCAGTTTATGAACATTGGCCTGGCCTTGGAGGCAAAAGTTCTACAATTCTGGTCACCTAAAATAAATGAGCTGGTGTTGTTAAAAAGCTCTTAAAAATTTTTTTTCGCCTTGAATCTGATCAGTCAAAGGGTTTATTTGAATAAAATCCTCTTGTTCAGATGCAGTGACCTGGGTTTCTACAAATATAGGCGCCAGTATGCCATCAAATCTGAGGCTGTGGAAGCAACCAGGACACAACTGAATCCTGTATAAAACAGCTGTCCCTAGAATAAGACCATCCTTTCTAAGTAAAATTAACATGTAATGGGTTTGGATTCCTTTAATTTTGATTTCAATTCATTTGGACTTACAGCTTGGAACATGAGTAGAAGGATCATATGCTATTTGTTTTTAAATAACTGATCTATAAAGTTTTAACATAAATGACATGTGCCGTTTGGAGAAACTATATTTTAAGTCCTAAACAGGCTGGAGTGTCCTGCCTATTACCACTGAGCTTTTGTCCCCTCAGTACTCAGAAGTCAGTGCCATAAAGTACAATGTGACATACACAGCTTTTTCTCTGAAGAGTAAGAATGAATATTTTCATGTTTAGTTGCAAAGTGGGAAGTGACAAATCAAAGGAAGCTATTTTTACTAAAAATTCATTTTTCACATGACATTTTCTGAAGCCCTAAAAACATAGAAGTATTTTTTGATACTTGTGTAGTTTAGGGGTCAGCAAACTTTTTCCATAGAGCCAGAGAGTAAATATATTAAGGTTGGCAGACTACATCGTCTTACTGTAACCAGTCAACTCTGCTGCTGTTGTGCGAAAACAGCCATGGTCAATATATAAATGAACATAATTATATAAATGGTCAATATATAAATGAACATAATTATGTTTCAATAGAACTTTATTTACAAAAATAGGCATAGGTAATAGTTTGCCAGCTCCTGCTTTAATTCACCCCATCTTCCAAGATTTTCCTTTAGACTGTGAAGAATTCAGAAGCTATCCTTTCCACATAAAAATTCAACAGTGCTATCTATACATGAAAATGCCATAGGTCTTTTCCCTGTATTTCTTGTGACCCAGTATGGGCCAGGTATTCTTGGCACTGGGACAGGTGCATCGGTAAACAAACACTCTCTGTTCTGGAACTTATTAGGTGTGACATTTGAAGGGTATCTGCCTTGGGTTTGGCATGTTCAAAGTAGTTTGGTTCACTTAATTCTCATTCAAGTCAATGGTATTAAACTTATTTTGATGAGAGATCAGGCTAATTGCCTAGTATCTCCAGCTAGTAAGTGGTAGAACCTACCTGACCCCAAAGCCACACACTTTCTATCCTACAGTGGATTTACTTTGATGCTTTCCATTTTAAATTCAGAATCCCACCTCAATTTTCTAACCCCATCCTCCCAGTTCAACCTTGTTTCAAGAAATCAACTTCTTTTCATTGTATGTGCTCGGTTTTGGTTAGAGAAGTATCCCACCAAAACACAGCCAAGGCCAATTTCTGGACTCTTCCCACCACTTATTATAGTTTCCCTGACTGAGAAGCCCTCCTTCTTCCCAAATTCCACCCAAAGATGAGGCCTGCTCTGTCTGGTGTGGCTCAGTTGGTTGGGTGTGGTCCTGTGCACCAAATGCTGGTACAATTCCCAGTCAGGGCACTTGCCTGGGTTGCAGGCTTAATCCCCAGTAGGGGGCGTGCAGGAGGCAGCTGATGGATGGTCCACTCTCACATTAATGTTTCGCCTGCTCCCTTCCTCTAAAAGTCTTATAAAAAAAAAAATAAGACACCTACCTTTTCAAACTGATTTCTCTTCACTTTTATTTATATGACGGTCTTGTCTCTTCCTGGGAATAGAGTTCCTTAGAGGCAGGACATGTCCTAAGGGCTTGTTGCAATACTGTGATTATAAAATATTTGGTCTTCATCCTCACAGCTCCTAGAACCCCTGGAATTTCCTAAGTGTAGACCGTGATAAAGGTGTTCTGTTGGGTTAAGAGATGACCTTTGGACCTCACCCAAGGGTGGCGGTTGGTTGCCAAAAGAGCCTCCATAAAAACCCAGAGGACAAGCAGTTGGCCTTTTATGGAGGGCGCTTTTGAACCAGAAAGCATCCATGTGCTGTCACCAGAAAAGGCCTGGAGCGGTCTGCCTCAGGCTGGCCAGTAGCGTGTGGGTTCTTGACTTTGTGCAGCAAAGATTTCACAATTCAAGTCCCGGTGACTTTCAGGGACTGTTTAATAAAGCTGAACTTTGCCCTGGCCGGTTTGACTCAGTGGTTAGAGCCTCAGCCTGCGGTCCAGAGAGACCCGGGTTTGGTTCCCACTAAGGGCACGTACCTTGGTTGCACTTTGTCCCTGGCTCTTGTTGGGGTCATGTGGGTCGCAACCAGTCCATTTCTCTCTCTCTCCCCCCCCCCCCGCCCCCTCTCGCTCTATCTGAAGATGAATGCAAAAATGTCCTCAGGTGAGGATAAAAAGAAATCATAAAGCTGAACTTTGACAACCCACTGAATCTTGAGGCCGCAGAGCACCGCCTGAGGGACAAGGACTTCAGGGGTGACCTGGAAGACTGCATTAAGCGGTAGGCCGGTTGATAGGTGGGGAGACTGCGCCGGGCCTGCGCTCCAGGGTCAGCTCCAGCTCCGGGGCCTCCGCCCCAAGTCCTGCTCCCTCAGCCCCACTGTCTCTGCCTGGTCCCTTGACATGTCCTAGAAGGAACCCCTTCAGGACTGCCCATTGTAGACAGAGAGTTCCAAATGAATACAGCAAGAAAATGTGTTTGGGTTCTCAAGAGTTGTCTGCTTACCTTGACATGTTTACTTTTGTGAACCTGTACTGTACAGGCTGCGGAGATGCTTGAGACGCACAGTCGGCCCTCGTTTATCACAGTTAATCGGTTCCACACTCTAGCACGATAAATGAATTTCCAAGAAATAGGACTTCGGGCTTCCACTTCCGGAGCTTCCTCGATAAATAGAGCGAAGCTGTGAAAGTGGAAACACCTAGCGACGAGGGGAGACCCTTCCCCCAAATCACTTCGCGAGTGGGAGCTGCAAACTGACTGGATGTCTTAGCTCCGCCCATGAGCCGAGGCCCCACCTCTGTCCCGAGGCTTCCGAATGCAAGTCATTCACTGTAAACCTCTCACTGAAATGAGCATTTTATTTAATGTAAGTATATTTTGGAACAGATTTGTAATTTGTACAATTTAATTATTTTTTTTCTATTCTCCTTTAGTTGGTATTTTCATTGTATACAGCAGACAGAAAGATGTTGGGTCAAGCAATTATTGAAGAGAAATGCAAGGAAAATATGAAAGACATTAACAATAAATAAAGCTGGGAACAGTGAGACACAGGAAGGGCTTGGGGCAGAAGCAGCAACAGGAGAGAGCCTAGGCAGTGCTCTGCTCTGGTTTTCTAGAAACATAGGAAACATTATGGGAAAGAAGTGAGTCAGTGTGGGGCCGCTTTAGCCCACTGAAAAGTGAGAGAAAAGGGGGGGCCTGGAGACAGGTTTACAGGGTAAGTGCAGGCAGAGCTGCTGCTGCCTGTTGCCCCTCTGGTTGTAAATCTCATGGGGACCCTTCTAGTTTAGGAGAGAAAAATAAAGATGTAGCCTAAGAGGGAAGCAAGGCGTGGGCGCGCTCAGAGACCACGAGCTGGTTCTCCTCTTGAGGATTCTCATCTGTTTTTTCTGGTGCGTGGGTCCATGCCCAACCACTGAGCCACCCTGGCCAGGCTCTTATCTGTTTTTTAAAGGTGGGAATTTTAGGGGAGGCCCTCAATAGAATATTCGTCAGCTTTATGCTGAGCACCAACATTAGATTTATTCCACTGACTTCATCTGTCCCTGGGTATGGTTAGCACAAATGTCACTAATTGGATTTCTGCCAGCTGTCTCCCTGAGTGGGATGATTTAAGCCATTTACCCTCTAGCTGGGGAGAAGTGCAAACAATTTACTCTTAAGTATCCTTGGTTGGAGAAGATGGATTTTGCAACTTACTTGATGGTTGTAAACTGCTTGGCCGTTTAACTATCTGTCAGTTTCCCTGTTCTACTTGTCCTGGCTTACTAATCTGTCCCACCACCATGCTGGACCCCAAACTCCATGAGGACAGAGCTCCTTAGTTGGGACCTCAACGTATGTATCTCTTCATCTGGCTGTTCATTTGTATTCTTTAATATCCTTTTTAATAAATCAGTAAGTTAGCCCTAGTTGGTTAGCTCAGTTGGTTAGAGCATCATTTGGATACCCCAAGTTTATGGGTTTGATCCCCAGTCAGGGCACATACAACCAATGAATCCATAAAGTGGAACAATAACTCGATGTTTCTCTCTCTCTCTCTTCCCCCTGCCTCTCTCTAAAAAAAATAATAATAAAATTTTTTTAAAATAATAAATTCAATCCAATTAAGAAATGAGCAAAGGACTTAAATAAACCCTTCTCCAAAGAGCACATACAGATGGTCAACAGACATATGAAAAGATGCTCAATGTCACTAATCATCAAAGAAATGCAAATTGAAATCACAATGACATACCACCTCACACCTGCCAGAATGGCTATCATCAATAAATAACAAACAGCTGTTTATGAAGATGTGGAGAAAAAGGAACCTTCGTGCACTGTTGGTGTGAATGCAGACTGGTGCAGCCACTGTGGAAAGCAGTATGGAGTTACCTTAAAAAATTAAAAATGAAACTGCCTTATGACTCATCAGTTCCACTTCTGGGAATATTTGAAAGAAGATATGTACCCCTGTGTTCATTGAAGCATTACTTACAATAGCCAAGATTTGGAAGCAGCCCTAGTGTCCATTAGTAGTTGAGTGTATAAAAAAGCTGTGATATATTTACATGATGGAATACTACTCAGTCTTAAAAAAAGAAGAAACTCTTACCTTTTGTGACAGCATAGATGGACTTGGAAAGTATTATGCTAAGTGAAATAAGCCAGTCAGAGAAAGACAAGTACCTTATGATTTCACTTACATGTGTAATCTAATGGAACAAACTAAACTAACAAAACAGAAACACTCATAGTTACAGAGAACAAACTGATAGCTGTCAGAGGGGAAAGTGATTGGGGCTGGGTGAAAAAGGTGAAGGGATTAAGCAAAGGAAAAACACACCTCATAGACACAGACAATACTATGGTGATTACCAGAGGGAAATGTGGGTTGGGGGAGATAGAAGAGGGTAAGTGGGGATAAAGGTGATGGAAGGAGACTTGACTTGGGGTGGTGTACACACAACACAATATACAGATGATACAGTATATAATTGTATACCTAAAATCTGCATATTAACCAATGCCACCCTAATAAATTCAATTTTTCTTTTAAAATTTAGTGAATAATTGGGTTTTCCTGAGTTCTGTGAGCTGCTCTAGCAAATCAGTCTAACCAGAGCAGGAATTTGCCCAAACTTCTGATTTATAGCTGGTTGGTTAGAAGCAGAGGTAACGTGGCATCCGAAGTGGAGGGCAGTCTCGTGGGACTCAGCCCTTTCACTCACGGAGACACGTTCTATGTCCAGGTAGACAGTGTCAGCACTGGGTTCAGCTGTCAGACCCCCTGCTGGTGTCCGAGAATTGCTGATGTGGGGAAGTGCACGCGTGCACACACACTGGAATTGGGGTCTGGAAACCCTTTTCAGTTCTTACAATACTTAATCTGGTGATATTCACTATAACAACATTAGTGTATATTCTTAGCTTAGTAATAAAACACTAATATATTGCTAGTTCAGAATCTCTGTTTCAGAGATATGGATGCAAATAATGAGTGATCATCACTGTGTTGTGGTTAAGATATATAGGAAGTCTAAATTTCATTTGATTGAAAGATATACCCTGAACACATTGGGGGCCTTTTCTTCGTTTTAAGCAAATCTCTGATATCAGACTGTCATCATTACCCTTGTCAAACACTGTAACAATGAAATCCTGGATAATAGATAAATACCATTAACTGTAAATTTACAAAGATTTATGAACTATGAGTTGATACTTAAATCTTCTAGCTATGTGCACTTGGGCAAATAAACCTTTAAGCCTCAGTTTCCTTATTATTAAATTGGGATTAAAAAATAGCTACCTCACCCTGGCTGGTATGGCTCAGTGGTTGGAACGTCATCCCATACACTGAAAGGTCGAGGGTTCAATTCCTGGTCAGGGCGCATGCCTTGACTGAGGGTTTGATTCCCAGTTGGGACACATACTGGTTGAAGTTTCAATTCTTGGTCAGGGTATGTGCTGGAGGCAACTGATGGATGTTTCATTCTCACATCAAAGTTTTTCTCTCTTTCTCCCTTCCTCTCTAAAATAAAAAGCTACATAAATAAATAAATAAATAAATAAATAAATAAATAAATAAATAAATAAATATCAACAAAAGCATGTCCTTAGGTGAGGATAAAAAAAAAAAAAATAGCTACTGCCCTGGCCGGTTTGGTTCAGCGATTAGAGCGTTGACCCACAGACCAATGAGTCACAGGTTCGATTCCAGTCAAGGGCACGTACATGGGTTGAGGGTCAGTTCGTCCCTGGCCCTGGTCAGGGTAGTGTGGGAGGCAACTAGTCGATGTCTCCCTCTCACATTCAATGTTTCTCTTTCTCTCCCTTCTCTCTTCCTCCCTCCCACTGTATCTGAAGATAAATAAAATATCCTCGTGTGAGGATTAAAAAAAAAGAAAGCTACCTCATAGGATTATAGATAATATATACATATAAAGCACCTAGTATGGTATTTGACAACATATAATAAATAATATCTATCTCCATAAATATTACTTAAGATGAAACATTTCAAATGACATTTTATAATAATTTTAGATGTATTTAATGATAAAAATCTTCCTACTAAGTATTTAAAAAGAAATGAATGTACAGTGATAGATGATTATTAAACTTATTGTGATCACTTCATAAGGTAGATCAATATTGAATCTCTATACTGTGTACCCGAAACTAGTACAATATTGTATGTCAACTATAATAAAAATACATTTTTAGAAAGAAACGAATGACAAGATGATTCTAAATGAAGCCCAGAATGACGTGAAAGCCAAGCGCGCTGCCCACTTCCCCTTGCACAGCGGTGGACAGGTCAGGCCGGCGAGGGTTCCTAGCACAAATGCCAAACTGCACCAGCAGCCCTTTGATTGTGATGAACGCATCCAAGCTCCAAGTAGTGAAAATCCACAAACCAAAAATTTTAAGTGAGAATTCCCAAGAACACCTGTGTTTTGCAAGCATTTTGTTTTTTTTATTAACAAAAGATATTGAAACAGTCAAATTCAAATAAACTATGGGACTCAAAAAGTTCCAGTTTCTAAGTTGCAAAATCAACACACAATGGACAAATTCAATGACATTTAAAAGTGTAAGATTAATTCTTTTCATTGAGGTCTTCTACTTGTGTTGGCAAACAGAGAGAGCGGCGTAACTGGCTCAGGGACTCTTTAGCCTGCCAACAAGAAAAAGAGACAGTCCTTGGTCAGAGAGCACAGCAAACATAGGGGCATGACTGCTGGGGAGAAAATATCTCCTTAGGTCAATACATGTACTAAATTACTAGTGACAAATGCCTACAATATTGATCCTTTCTTAAAAGGTATTTAAGCCCTGGCTGGTTTAGCTCAGTGGTTAGAGTGTTGGCCTATAGACTGAAGGGTTCCAGGGTTGATTCCAGTCGTGGGGCCGGTACCTGGGGTGCAGGTTTGATCCCGGGCCCTGGTTAGGGTCCTACAGGAGGCAACTGATCAATGTGTCTCTCTCACTCTCACATTGATGTTTTTCTCTCTTTCTCTCCCCTCCCCCCTTTCCACTCTATCTAAAAATATCCTTGGGTGAGGATTAAAACAATAAAAAAGTGAATTTAAGGTTTCTAATACATTTATAGTTCTTAATAGTTAGTTTCCCCCTTTATAATGTTTTTTTTCAGTTCATATTTAAAAATAAATAAATCTGTGACCTGTCACCTTCCTTTTTTTTCCTCAACTCTATTATCTAAAAAAATAATACTTCACAGAGTACTATTTTAAATCTTAACTGCCCAGTTCTATAAACTAGTTGGAAGCACATTCCTTAGCCTTCTTGGATTAAATCACTGAAATGGAAGAGTAGCCACTAATTTTTTTTAAAAAGCATCATTATATTTCTCCTAAGTAGTGATTATATAAAATTTTTAAAAATTTAAGTCTCTTTAACTCCAATTTTGGTTATAAATTTAATTTTAGTAATATCTTTTTTTTGGGGGGGGGATTGAGGAATGGGTAATTGAGAAGGTACAGGTAATAAAAGATATGATTATCACTGACTATTAAATGAGTATACATTGAACAATGGAAGATATTTTTACCAGACCTTTTTTCTTATAAAATTACTAAGAAAAGCGTTAAATCTAGTTATGTGTTGAGAAGTCACCATCTGAACAAGCTGATGAGTCCATCTGGAGGCCAGAGATAAAAGCTGCTTAAGAACTAGGCTCCGGAGACAAACTCTGGGTTTCATAGCCTGGTTTCCCAGCTTGCTAACTCTGTACACCTAGGCAAGTCACGTCGAGCACCTCCATTTTCTCATCTTGGATGGAAGAGATTAAAGGACGAATACCATATTGATTCTTCTATTTTCAAGGAGAAAACTTGCAAATGTCTTTAGTGAGCTTAAAATTCTTAAAAAATTTTTTTTTCTTTACTGTTTTTTTTTCAGAAAGAGGAAGGGAGCCCTGGCCGGTTTGGCTCAGCAGTTGGAGTGTCGGCCTGTGGACCAGAGAGTCCTGAGTTTGGTTCCTGCTAGGGGCACATACCAAAAAAAAAAAAAAAAACCAGAAAGAGGAAGGGAGAGAGAGAGGAAGAGATAGAAACATAGATGAGAGAGAACATCATTGGCTGCCTCCTGCATGTTCCCCACTGGGGATTTGGCCCACAACCTGGGCATGTGCCCTGACTGGGAATCAAACTGGCGACCTCTTGGTGCATGGGTCCGACACTCAACCACTGAGCCACAAGCAAGCTTAAAATTCTTTATTAGTGTCCACCTTCCTAAAATTCTACTTTCTTTTATGTTCTTAATAGGTTACAAATCTGCAAATGAGTTTGATATTGGGTTGTTTTCTTTAAAACACACACACTCACCTAGAGATAGATTTCTACTGGAAACTATTAATTACTATCTCAAAGTCATTTGAGACATTTTCACATACACACTGACAGCTATTGCGATGTCAAATACAGAAGACAATAAAACTGTAGGATATGGAATTAGTATCAGACAAGTCAATTACTTCACTGAACAAACCACAATACATGGAACATTTAACCTGTGAGGATAAGCCAATCATATTTCCTCTACACTAAGTTCTGGCTCCCAAACAAGACCAGCTGTAAGATTTTGTGTGTGCAGTGAAGTACCTCAGCAAGATCTTCTTTTAACTTGTTGTATTGCACCACGTCAAAATGCTGTTGCTTTGATTTCTTATGAAAGAAGTGAAGAAATTGCCGACTCTTAATAGCTGAATAAGTATAATCCTAAAAAATAGAGAACATGTTTTAAATGAACATAATGCCTCTGCCAGAAAGATACTTGCCTTAGCAACACTGAAGCAAAGGCAGATGAGTGAAATGTTTGCTGTAGCTACCAGAGTAGCTAAGTAAATGCAAGTAAAACATTCAGTCTCATTTGAGATCAGCTGCTCCTTTCAAAAGCAAACAGGTTGGGAAGAGAAATCATGTGACAAGATACAATGGAGAAAAAGAGAAATGGAGAGTTTTGGCAAAATAAACACGAGATAAAGCTAAAGTTACTGGGTGTTTTGCAATACAAATTCAATTTTATTTACAAATGAGGGAACAAAGAATGTAAACTTGATATGTTTATCTTAACGGAGGAATCTGTTGAGTTGTAGTGTTTATTTTTCTACAGAAGTTACACATAGTTTCTCAGGGCTGTATATAAATCTCCATCCTCATGAAAAACAACAACAAAATATATCAGCTTATAAAACCCAGATAGCAGTAATTCAGTAAGTAAAAAGGCTTTATTGCTCATTACTTGACTTGGATAAGGAATTATTTGCAGATGTTCTAACTTACTATTTTCCTAACAAACTACTCACCTGTCGAGTGACTAGAAAGTATGCAAAAAAGACCATGGAATTTGCAAATGTGATGAAGTATGTAACCGGTTCCATGATATCCCAGGAGTACACCCACCAAGTGAGCCAAGCCAATGCTCCGCCCTGAATGGACAGCAGCGCTAATCCAGCCCACAGGAGTCCACTGGTTTTGGCTTCTGAGCGAGCTTCAATTCCAGCTTTCATCTGAGAGAGAGAAAAGAAAAGACTATTAGCTCAGTTTACAAGAAGAGAAGGAACAAAAATAATGCACATCTGCTTTACTTTAAAGAGGTTCAATTTATGAAAAAACAATGTATAAAACATATACATTAATGGGTGATCACTTATGTCCAAACCAGCTCATTAATAAATCATGTTTTAAATTATAAAGGTAACATCTACTCATAAAAAATTTTTAAATAGAATAGACAGGTATGCAGTGAAAAGCTTAGAAGCCATCCTCTGAAACCTATCTAAAATTACATGTTGATTTTCTTCAACCCAGCAATTTCACTTCTGGGAAACCATCTTGCACAAATGTGATTCATGACAGATTCATTGTTAAGAATAAAAGACCTGAAATTATCCATCTATCCCTCAAGCTACTATGCAGCTGTAATGAAGAAGCTCTCCATGCACCCTGTGGAGATCTGTCCAGGACACAGGCATACCTCGGGCACATTGTGTGGTTGGTTGCAGACCACTGCAATTAAGTGAATATTGCAATAAAGCGAGTCACATGAATTTTTTTGCTTTCCCAGTGCACATAAAAGTTATATTTACAGTATACTGCAGTTTATTAAGTATGCAATTATGTCTAAAAAAGCAATGTACACACCCTAATTTAAAAATACTTTATTGCTAAAAATGCTAACTATCATCTGAGCCTTCAGCAAATTATCTTTTTGCTGGTAGAGGGTTTTACCTTCAAATTGCAAAAAAAAAGCAATATCTATAAAGCGCAATAAAGCCACGAGAAATAAAATGAGGTATGTAATAGCCCACATCGTTTTCTGAAAATGGGAAAAAAGAAATAATATATTTGTATTTGTACATAAAAGTTGAAATGGTTCACAGGTGTGAGGATATGATATTGGGAGAAAAACATTCTATTGACCAACTTTTTATTTTTTTTATCTTAATGTAAGAAAATATATCATTAACTTTTGAAAAATGAAAAAAAAATTAGCCCTGGCCAGTGTGGCTTAGAGGTTAGAGCGTCAGCTCATGTACCGAAGGGTCATGGGTTTGATTCCCAGAGAAGGGCACACACCTGGGTTACAGGTTTCATTCCGGGCCCCAGTTGGGGCACATGTGGGAGGCAACCAATCATGTGTCTCTCTCACATTGATGTTTCTCTCTCTCTCTCTCTTTCTTTCTCTCTTCCTCCACTTTCCATTCTCTCTAAAAATCAATGCAAAAAAATATCCTCAGGTAAGGATTAACAAAAAAATATAAAAAGTAAAGAAAAAAATTAAAATGTAGGTACACAATACAACAAAAAATATTAAAAAGTCCCCCTCTGGCATCCCTAAATATCCTGAGTTAATCACTATTAAGGTTTCTTTTAGCTCCAGAAACTTTCTATTCATATACAAAGTTACAAATATATCTACGTATCTATCTATCTATCCATATTTAAAAATCAAGTGAAATCACAGGTTAGAAAAAAATGCAGTTTTTGTCCTTAAATTAAAAGGCTCCACCACCTCCTCCCCTGCAAAAGTTATTTTTTCTCCACCACTGATGAACCTCAGATGTTAGGAAGCCACCACTAACTTTCTAGTTGCAATTCTGTTCAGTAGAGCTGGGGCCGTGGGCTATGCCCTGAACGATCACCTGTGGTGACATTGCAGCTGGTGCATCCCAGCTCACATTATACTCATTTAGGGACATTACGACCCATCCACAGAGAGGATGCTGAGCACAGAGTTTGAGGTGGCAGCCAGAGTCAGACCACCTGAGTTCAAGTTCCGGCTCTAGAACGTATTAGCTTTGAGCCTTTGCCGTCTCAGATTCCCCACCTGAAGAATGAGAAAGATAACAGTACCTGACGCACAGCTCACTGTGAGGATGAAAGGAGAAAATGACTATATGTAAATCATTCAGAAAAGTGCCTCCATGCACAGCGCTCAATAAAAATTGGATATTATTTTCTGACTCAACTGTGATGCTTCCTAACCTGTTCCAGGGACTGCAGCTGTCCCTTCAGGTGGTCAATTTTCTCCAGTAGGTGCTGTTCTCTCTTTTTCTGAAACTCTTCCAAATGCAAGGCTGTAAACAGTCTGTACACCAAGGATTTCATGTTTTCCATTTCAGTAGTGTGCTCACTACTCAGTTTTTCTGAGAAAAGACACAAAACATAAGGCAGTCACAGATTTTTTTCCTCCAGGGTCTCTCAGTCCAGGGAACCAAGTCTGATTCCCCTCGGCTGGCCTCGTTAGCCCGCCCTACTCCTAGGGAGACGCTCGGTATGGGCCTCTCTTCCAGTCTCCGGTGACTCCATCAGTCCTTCTCATACAAAGACAATCTGGAATGATGAATTACCAGACAGTAGGTTTACAATTAGTATGTTTTTTTTTTTAATCCTCACCCGAGGATATTTTTCCATTTTTTGTACAGATAGAGTGGGAGGGAGAGAGAGGAAGGGAGAGAGAGAGAGAAACATCGACGTGAAGGGACACATTGAGTGGCTGCCACCCGCACGACCAACCAGGGACAAACTGCAACCGAAGTACGTGCCCTTAGCGGGAACCGAACCCGGGTCTCTCCGGACCGCAGGCCGACGCTCTAACCGCTGAGCCAAACTGGCCAGGGCGCAATTAGTATGTTTTTATTTGTCTTATTTCTTTGTCATATGATTTGCTCTTTCTTTAAAAACCTTCATACAGGAAGAGTAAGGGGAATATCCATTACCAGAACCCAGGTGAACACCTCACCGTAGTTTGTAACACATTCCTTGCAGGGCTGGGGAAGGGCCAACCCTCAGGCTGTATGTATAAGGCCCAGTTAAACATCACACCCTCGCCAAATTAGCCTGACCAAATATAGCAGGCTAATTTTTTTTTTAATCCTCATCTGAGGACATTTTTGCATTTATCTTCAGATAGAGCGGGAGGGAGAGGGAGGAAGAGAGGGAGAGAAACATCAATGTGAGAGAGACACATCAAGTGGCTGCCACCCACACAACCCCAACCGGGGCTGGGGACAAACCAAAACCAAGGTATGTGCCCTAAGTGGGAACCGAATCCGGACCTCTCTGGTCTGCAGGCCAACACTTTAACCACTGAGCTAAACTGGCCAGGGCAGCAGGCTAATTTTTAAGTTGATTATAATGTATGGCCTGTGAATGATGTTATAAATATCCAAATGGCCCTTGGCAGAAAAAAGTTTCCCCACCTCTGGACAGGCTCACTTTTATACTTGTGTTCAATGCAAGCTCCCTCCCCTGTACCATCTATCCAAAAATTATTTTGGGTTCCAAAGGGGAGGGAAGTTGGTATACCAACATGTACACAAAAGTATAATATACATTTGCAAAGCATTTCAAGTGTTACTTCTTTACACCAAGGTACGGATCTGAAAGGTCAGACTGACAAGAAAGGGAGTTCTTTTGATTATGGATTTCTCTCATCCTCTCACCTCTATGGATCTATGAATTCACATGAAATTGGGCTGTCGTTATACCTTTCCAAGGTTTCTAAATGTTCCTCCCTGTGGAGGAGAACTTGAGGGAAGGGGACAAGGCAAGAGGAAGGGAAGATGGACCTCCCTGCCAAGCAACAGCAGTGAGTTATTAATTAGCCCAATGGTTTTTCAGGTTTTCCCACAGTCTTAAAGATACTTCTCTTCCATCTCCACCCATGTGATCAAGACTTTACTGTGGTCTTTGATCCCTTCCACCTTCTAAGCTAACACTGCCTCAAAGAGGGGAAAACCAGAAGTTCCCTTTTAGGGTTCTGAGATTTGTAGAACAGTCAGAGCCCTTTTGTTTTGATGAAACATACACTGATGTTTAAAAGGTTTCCATACAGAAGAAAGGTATAGATGGGCCACAATTTTGTCCAAAGCTGTGGTGTGTATCAAAGACAAACAAAGCCTACAGTAGCTAAAATGATAAAGGCAGATTTTATTCAGTAACCATTGCAACAGGGAAGGGGTCCAGCCTGGTCTGATTTCAACTTCTATTTGTCCAGAGGTGGTTGGGCATTTCCAGGGAGGGAGGGAGGAAGAGAGAGAGGAACAACTGGAGCTTAAGCAGAGTCAAGAAAGTAGAAATTTACAAAAAGTGAGAAGGGGGTTGGTTAAGGAGACTAGGCAATTTGGGTTTGTTTATCTAGAAAAGAAACAAACATGACAATGGTGCAAGTCCAGAGCCAGCTGCCCACCAGGCTGGGAGTGACAGCAACAGTTACCTCCTTGGGCCCTCAGAGCTTTTGCTGAGTTGCTGACACGCAGGACGGTGGCCATCTTGCTCCTTCCCAGGGCTCTGGGGAGAGGCAGCAGCCCCTCCCTCGGAGATTCAACCCCACCCATTGAAATGCTAATTGAGGCTCACTAACAACTAGCATCTGCCCCACCCTCAGGAACTCCCCTTATGCTGAGCACCTGAGGAAGTTTTTCTTTTATTTATGTATGTATGTATGTATGTATGTATTTATTTATTTTTGTTTTTTTATTCTCACCCGAGGACATTTTTTGTTCAGATAGAGTAGGAGGGAGAGAGAGAGAGAGAAACATCGATGTGAAAGGGACACATCGCACGACCAACCAGGGCCGGGGACAAACTGCAACCGAGGTACATGCCCTTAGCGGGAATCGAACCCCGGTCTCTCGGGACCGCAGGCTAATGCTCTAACCGCTGAGCCAAACCGGCCAGGGCCTGAGGAAGTTTTTAATCAATTGACAACCCAAAACTCTTCAAGTAACCTCGATTGCTAGCCTCCAGGCAAAAAGCTAGAGGATAACAGTACCTTTCCTGGGCGAGCAACTTTAACCAGGAAAGTAAGACTTGACAGTGGTGTTTAACGTGGATCCTCCCTCCCTCATCTCAACCCAGGAGAGGGAGCCAGAAACAGCAGAACACCAACACCCACAGGGAAAACTTGACAGGCCCCAAAGCCCAATGTGATAGCCAAAACACAGAAACAAAAGCCAAATGAAAGAACAAGAGACCTCCTCCGAAGATGAGATCAATGTGGAGCAATTAGGCATGTTAACAGAGCTAGAATTTAGAGCCATGATCTTGAGGAAGTTCAACAGCATGAGTAAGGACCTAGAGATGCTGAAAATAAACCAACTGGAAATTAAAAACCACCAAGAAGAGATAAAAAATGACATATCAGAAATAAAGAACACATTGGAAGGTCTAAAAAACAGAATAGAGGAAGCTGAGGACTGGATCGGTGAATTAGAAGACAGGGTAGAAAAAATCAACCAATCAGAAAACCAAAAGGAAAAAAATGATTAAAAAACAGGAAAACAGCATAAGAGAACTATGGGACAACTGGAAACGTAATAATATGCACATCATAGGAGTCCCCGAAGAAGAAAATGAGCGAGGGTTAGAGAATATAGTCAAAGAAACAGTGACAGAAAACTTACCTAATTTGGTGAACGAAGAAGGCATTCAAGTTCAAGAAGCACAGAAAGCCCCAACTAAGAACCCAAACAGGCCCACACCAAGACACATAATAATTAAAATGTCAAAAATTAAAGACAAAGAGAGAATCCTAAAGGCAGCAAGAGAGAAGCAACAGGTTACCTACAAAGGAAACTCCATAAAGCTCTCAGCAGACTTCTCACAAGAAACACTACAGGCCAGAAGTGAATGGCATGAAGTATTCAAGGTCATGAAAAACAAAATTCTGAATCCAAGACTACTCTATCCAGCAAGGCTATCATTCAAAATAGAAGGTCAAATAAAGAGCTTCTCAGACAAAAAAAAGCTAAGGGAATACATTAGCACCAAACCAGCACTGCAACAAATGTTAAAAGGACTGCTGTAATTAGTAGGAGAAATAGGAAGAAAAATATAACCAAACTAAACAAAAATGGCAATAAATAAGTACATATCAATAATCACCTTAAATGTAAATGGATTGAATGCTCCAATACAAAGACACAGAGTAGCTGATTGGATAAGAAAGCATGACTCATCTATATGTTGTTTACAAGAGACCCACCTCACAACAAAAGACTCACATAGGTTGAAAGTGAAGGGATGGAAAAAATTTTCCAAGCAAACGGAAAGCGAAAAAAAGCTGGGGTAGCAATACTCATATCTGATGAAGTAGATTTCAAAATGAAGACCATAACTAGAGACAATGAAGGCCACTACATAATATTGAATGGATCTATCCAACAGGAAGATATAACCTTGATAAACATATATGAACCTAATATAGGAGCACCAACATATATTAAAAATCTTCTGGAGCACTTCAAAGGAGAAATCGACAGCAATACAGTCATAGCAGGGGACTTCAACACCCCATTGACATCACTGAATAGATCCTCTAGAAAAAAATTAGCAAGGAAACAGAGACTCTAAATGAAGCACTAGACCAAATGGATTTAATAGATATCTATAGAGAATTACACCCCAAAACTGTAGAATTCTCATTCTTCTCAAGTGTACATGGAACATTCTCAAAGATAGACCACATGATGAGACACAAACTAAATCTACAAGTTCAAGAAGACTGAAATCATATCAAGCATCTTCTCAGATTACAACGGCATGAAACTAGAAATCAATTGCAACAAGAACATGCAAAGACATTTGAACACATAGAAGCTAAATAGCATGTTATTAAACAATGAATGGGTTACCGAGGAAATCAAGGAAGAAATTAAAAACTTCCTGGAAACCAATAAAAATGAACACACAACAACACAAAATCTATGGGATACAGCAAAAGTAGTTATAAGAGGGAAGTTCATAGCACTACAGGCCTACCTCAAGAAACAAGAAAAATTTCTAATTGACTGTCTAACCTCACAACTTAAAGAATTAGAAAGCAAACAATAAGAAAACCACAGGGCAAGTAGAAGGAAGGAAATAGTAAAGATCAGAGCAGAAATAAATGACATAGAGACCAAAAATCAATTCAAAGGATCAATGAAACAAAGAGCTGCTTTTTCAAAAAGATAAACAAGATTGATGGACCCTTAGCTAGATTCACCAAGAAACAAAAAGAACCCAAATACACAAAATCAGAAATGAAAGAGGAGAAGTAACAACCGACACCACAGAAATACAAAAGATCATTAACAGCTATGAACAACTATATGGCAACAAATTCGACAATCTAATCAAAATGGACAAATTTCTAGAAACA